TCTATTACTCTCTCCCAACCCAGGTTCAGGTTTTGTAAGCTAATTTAACGATTAGTGAACAAACTTGTAACAATATTATATATTTTAATATATATTTATTTCAGATTTTCTAATAAAAATATATAAAATTAATAATTTTTTTATATATTTTTATTATAAATAGTTATTGATTTTATATATAATTAGAATAACTTTGTCAAATTAAATCTAAAAAATTTAAAAAATTTATATTAAAATATATAATATTATTTTATTTTGATATAAAATTAAAAATAATTATTAGTAAAATTAAAATTTTTAGATCAAGAAAAATTTATATTTTTCATATTTTTATTATATTTTATTAATAAATATTTTTTAATTAATATTATATATATATTTATATTAATTAAATAAATTTAAATAATTATTACAAATAATAATAGCTAATTTAAAATTATATAATAAAAATTAAAAGAAATATAATAATATTAAAATTTATTAATAAAATTTATATATAAATTTTTGATATTTTTTATAATATTATTAAATATATTAAATAAAAGCTTTTTTAATATGAATAGTTCAAAATTAACAAAATTTAGATTATTATATATCAATAAATTTTCAGATAAATTGTAAATTAAATTAAACAATATTTAATTTTAAACTTTAATTTATAAATAATTTGTTAAATTATATTAATTTATATATATTTATTTGTAATAATTTTTGAATTTATTAAAACTAAATAAAATTTTACTTTAAATAATAATACAATTTATATAATAATATATATTTAAAAATAAATAAAATTATTTTCAAACAAATTTATTTAAAATTAAAAAATTTATAATAATTTTAATAATATTTAATTATATATATATTATTATAATAAATTACTAAAAATCCAAAAAAAATATAGTAAAATTAAAATTATTTTTTTATAATAAAATTTTTATTAGTAAATATTTTTTGTTTTTATATTAAAATAAAGTTAAAAATCTATATTTTATATATTTTTTTAAATTTAATTCAGAATATTTTAGCTTAAAAAGATAATTATACAAACTTTTTATAATTAAAAATTAAATTATTAAATTGAATTATAAAATATTTATATAATTATCTGTATAATTCGAAATTTTTTTTAAATTAAATTTAAAAAATTTATAAAAAATATATATTAAAATACAAGTTCTTAGCTTTATTTTAATATAAAAACAAAAATATTTACTAATAAAAATAAAAATTTTATTATAAAGATATAATTTCAATTTTATTATATCTTTTTTTGAATTTCTGATATTCTAATTAGCTAATTAAATTATATTTATTACAAATAGTAATAATTATAAATATATTTACTTTATATAAAAAACAATTAATAATTTATATTTTAACATAAATTTTTTAGATTTAATCTGAAAATATTTTACTAATTGCAAAATAAGTTAATTAATTTTTTATAATTAGAAAATTAATTAACTTACTTTGTAATTAAAAAACTCTCAAATTAAATCTAAAAAATTTGAAAAAGTATATATTAAAATATGAATTATTATTTGTATCTTTTTTGTATAAAAATAAAAAATAAATTTTAATGCTATTGTACGTTTAATTGTTATTATATATAATACAGAAATTCTATTAACTTAACTAAGAAGTAAATATAATATTTAACTTGTAATGTTATATAAAAGGACTTTTATAATATTATTACTGGTCAAATTTTGGATTTCTTTTTAGTTAGAAGTTGATAGAATCCTTAACATGAAACATGTTGTCGATTTAAGAGTTCCTGCACGCTCGATTAAAATTATACAATAAACATATAAAAAATGAAAATTTTAAGCTATTTTTTTTTTTTAGTAATTATTTCTAAATTTTAAAGCTAATCGATTATATATTGAATTAGAAAAAATAATACAAAATTTATGAAAAGTTTAAAATGCAAGTACTGTTTTAAAAAAAATATGTGGTTACTTTTTGTGGCAGCTGTACATGATAAAATTTATATCATTTGTAGCTGAAATTATATATAAAATTTCACATTTCTAGCATTTATAGAATTCAAATAAAAACATACCAAAGAAATTCTTGGTTTTCATAACCCAGCCGGTTACTTCGGGACGTGTATTTAGCAATCCAGTGAGCGGATTGAAGCTGCTCACTGTATCGCGAGATATCACGTCCCGACCAAAAAAATTCGATTTTATTTAAATAAAATTTTTTGACTTTAAAAATAAAAAGTTGGGTCTGCGGGTATCACGGAATATGAAAACCAATATTTACTTAGTGTTGCCTAATTAAGTTTAATTTGAAAATTTTAATGTATTTAGTACTTTGATTTTTAAATGTGAAAATTTGAATCAAATTATTATAAGTTTTACAGCAATTAATAAAAAATCATCAATCATTAAAATTTAATCAGTGTTTGCTTTTTTAATAATCCAAGTTTACTACAGTGCAAGATACCTTAAACCAGCAAATTTTACTACAATTTCAAAATTTTTCACACAAGAAATTAAAGCAGTTAGAAACCAATTTTTAATGTGAAAAAATACAAAAGAATAAATAGAATAAAGTTACGAAAACTGTTTGTTAATTGGTTAAATTTTAACAAAGTTGAATTGTTCTAAAGTTAACCAATGTTACTATGGTTCAGGAACTCTTAAATCGACAATATGTTTCATGTTAAAAATTCTATAAACTTCTTACCTAAGGAGTAAATACAAAATTTGACCGGTAATATTATCAAGAAAGTCCTTTTCTATGATATTATCGGTTAAAATTTGTATTTACTTCTTAGGTAAGAAGTCGATAGAATTTTTAACATGAAACATTGTACCATAGTAAAATTTTCTGGTTTAAGGTGTCTTGCACTGTAGACATATCAAATTTTACAAGAATTCAAGCTACAAATAATATAACAAAAATTTTAATTTATATAAAGATTCATTTAAACTTAATCTACAAATGATATAATTTTATCTATGTTTATTATGTACATTTTTGTGTAATTAGCAGAAATGAGTGTTCCAAAACTTTTGATCATGTATAATGTTAATTAAATTAGTCCATAAAATCCAACGTTTTTCGACCTTAAAAATTCAACACGAATCGTACACTTGGAATGGTTGGGTCCCAATTATTTTTGAAGATCAGATAACATATTTATCGTAAGCTTAATTGGAGGAAATGAATTTAGATTATAATGTTAGCCTTGCCTATTTTTTGACATATACAAAGTACATATTTCAGAATTCACCGGCTCATATTGTTGTTACTGTGTATAAGTATGCGAATGTCTTCTCGTTTTAGACAAGTTCAAAAAATTTTCGAAATATATTATTATTTTTTAGACATAAACTGTATTTATTTCTTAACGTTGTATTAAGTTATTCTGTACTTAACAATTCAAACTATTACATAAACTTGTTAGATATAAGTTGTAGCTTTATCTCAAAAACTATTTACCAATAAGCATGTTACATGATAGATATAAGAATAAATTATATATCGATATTCATAAATTAAATGATAAAATAAAAGTGCATAAAATAACGTTACATGAAATTTGTTGCCAAAGTTTATGCTTATAATACAAAAAATAATCTTTACTTTCTCTTAGTAATATTCACAACTATTTTTAATGGCATATATTTACGATTTTTGAATGGCATACTTTTGAATGGCGTATATTCACAACTATTTTTTTAATGGCATATATTCACAATAGCATAACTACTTTTCAATGGCATATAATTAATCTTGATTTTTCATATTGATTTTATAACCATACTTTAGAGCTAATAAATTTATTTACTTAGCAAGAAGCAATGAGGATCCAAGATGGAATTCAATGTTGTTATATCTGGCTCGTTAAAATGATAATGGTCTGAATTGGTAAAAATTCGACTATTTTGGCTTTCGGCTATATCCATGAAGTTTGATATGGCTTGAGAATAATTCAAGAATGGATCATTGTTTGAATCCATAATTAAGTTGGTTGTCAAAGGCCCATTGGTTTGAGAATCCAAATTATAGTTAATTTCATGAGAATTGATTTCTAAAATTTGCGAATATTGATCGTGATCTATCGATGAATGATTTTGATAATCATCAAAATTGACCGAGATGAAATTGTCACCATTCAAGGAATTAATCTTTGTAGCGCTATCGTTATTAAATTCATCGAGATTATCATGATGATCCGAACCAGTAGTATCTGGATTCAAACTTTTGCCTGAATTTACAGATTCTGATACTGGAAAGACAGAAAATCCAAAATTATCAATTGGACAATCATCTAATGTAACTTCTGCTGGTTTTAGTCGTCTGACCGCAAGAGATAAGTCGCTTGCACGCGTATTTGACTCATCATCGCGTGTCGAATTATTATTCGATGAATCATTTATCATCTCTTTTAGAAGTTTATTTGCGTCATAAGAAATAATCGAATATTGCGCTTTAACCCATTCAGGTTCTTCTTTCCATTTTTTAGAAATTGTCGAGGAAATAATTTTCATAGATGGATAATGACCTTGTGCATTTAATTCCTTAACGAATGCCTTACGATAGCAAAGAAAGCAATTAGGACCTTTCTTTTGTATCTTTCCGTTTTTCTTTCTTTTTATGATTTCGTAGGCTTTGATTCTTGGAGGAAAAGGAATATCAAAAGATTCAAATGGTAATTTTTGAGGGTTCGAAGTCGAAGTCATGTTGTTGTTTATTTGGGAGCATTCAAATGATTGTTTTAGGTATTTTTTTAAATCAAGAATAGAAGATCTTGACGGAAGAGATAATTGCGAAAGATAAACTTCTATCGTCAATGATGACTTATGAACAAGAAACATTGGTTCTTATTTATAACTTTTTCAATGCTATAAGAAAGCTTGATCATAAAGACTGCTTGTTTTTTTTTGTCTTGCTTGCCTGCACATTAATTAAAAACTCTCGATAGTTTCATACAACGTAAAAGGTAAACAAGCTAGTAAAGCCTTATTTTTTTATCCAATTCATCAATATACATGTAGCTATTTAATTAAAAACTCAAAAACATTTTCTTCATGTTTTTGTCTTACTGCAGCAATTTGCATTTTTTTAGAAGAAATATTCTACGAAAAATCTTTTGAGCATTTAATTCAAAATTGCGCGTTCACCAATAGATAATTTTTTGTTTTTGATTGGTTACTGGAAATCTAAATACAGTATAACGATTTTTGGATTTGGAATTTTGATTCTGATATTGCAAACTGGCTTAGCGTCTTGAACAATTTTTTAGAAACATAACTCACCACACGTCTTGAATGTCGTGTTATAATAAGACTAAAACTGACATTAGCGTTAGCCAAAAAAAGATAAAAAGTATACGTAAATGGTAAAATATCCGTGTGGTAGCATCCTGGACACAAACAACTGCATGGTATGGTATGCGATCTGTACTACCATACGGTTCATATACTGCACCGGTACCCAAAAATACAAATTCACAATGAACTTTTAATTTTTACATGTACGTACGTAGTCAGACAGAAGTTATCCTACATACATGTACATGTATGTGTTATTTGAAATATTAAATAACAATTACCTTTTAGAATCCGCTCTCATGTGAAATAAATATATAATTTTTTATCAAGTTACGTTAAACAAAGATTTACCGTATAATTGTTAGTGTTGAAATAGAGCTTATAGAAATTTTCCATGAACATACGAGGTAATTATACAAATCTTATTGTCTATTCATCAATTTTCTTGCCAGAGGCTTAGAAGTAGTCGTTTAGATTTCAATGCTGATTTGTAATGATGGTGCTGTCGTTGTCATTTTTTATGCTCATTTTTTTAAGCAAGATTTTTGGTATTATAAATCGGAAATACTGTACAATTTTACAATAGTTTTTGTACTGCCTACAAATATGTGAACAAGAACTGTTCTGTTTCTCAAGTTCAAATAGGGCGTTGTGATCGCTTATACATGTACAATGAAAAAATAGAAAGGATTTCGTACAAGATCTTTGTTTATTCGCGTATTAAAAAGTACCTATTTTTGTGTACGTAAATAGAAATTACACGAAAGTCAAACTTCACTTCAGACATGACCAATCATATCGATATCATTTATCGTTATACGATATTTAAAAAACTGAATTTTAAATTAACTTTTTAAAAGGATTTTTTTATGCTTAAAAATACATATACATGTACATGTACATGTATATAACATGTACATGTGTGCCAAGTGATTTACACAGTACATGTAGTACGATTGGTTTTTGTCGAAAATTACCTTTCATTCTCGTATTTGATAATATATGTTCATGTAATATCGATATGATTTTTTGGTCATGTTAATTTTGTTAGTTTATCTTATGAATAAGGTATAATTCAAAATTACATAATTTGTAAGTTACAGAATCATTGGAACTAGAATTTTTACCAATTCTGATCGACAGAATCCACATAGTGAACCAATCATATGGTGCTGCACTATACACTTGGTGGACAAAAGTCTGGAATCTGGCAATGATCGACATACATTTGGTGTGACTTTAACCGCCCACCGCGCGATGAATAACGATAAAGGTTTAATGTAATTATATATTGGTTCGTTAGAAAGCTAAGATTTTGGGCTTTCAAATGAAGATAAAAAGCTATACATCTCTACAAGAAATTACCTAAAAATGTAAAAATTTTAATAGAAAAATATAATAAATTGAAATTATTTCTCTATATTAAAATTCTTAAACTTAAGAAATATTTCTTATTTTTATGATAAAATAAAGATACAAACCTATATTTAAATAAAATTCTTTTTTTAATCAACTTTAAATAATTTTATAATTATAAAGTGATTATAGAGATTTTTATTATTAAATTTTATATTCTAACTATAAATAATTATAATAATCACTTTAATCATAAAATTATTCAAAATTAATTCTAAAAATTCTGAAAAAAAGAATTTTATTTTAAAATATAGGTTTTTATCTTTATTTTATTATAAAAATAAGAAATATTTCTTAAGAAGTTTAAGAATTTTAATATAGAGAAATAATTTCAATTTTATTATATTTTTC